TTGGTGTTCCCTTCACCTGCTCGTTGATTGTTCCGTCAAACGTGAAGTACGTCCTGCGATAGAACTTCAGGTGTTGTGGGATTTGGATGTGTCCGAGAAGATTCGCTGTCTCATCATATTTGCTGTGTAGGAGTACTTCGACATTATCGACTGCGAGATCCTGAGGAATAGAAGTATGAATTACCCCTCTCTGCTGTTATCTCTGATGGTGGATGCGTGACGAATTTTGAAAGGTCAGGCGATTAAACGTTTTGCTCCCGCGATCGCATCGGCTTCTTTTCTACCGTAGGTCTTATTTAAAGCTGCTTGATTCGCACACCCCGGATTGATCTGGCGAGATTCTATAATATCCCGACGTTGTCCTCTAACATGATTAACTGATTCCTAGCACTATTCTACTATATGCAAACTGCTTATCTGAATTTTAACCTATTTACTTATCTCTCTGGCCGGCCATACGTTGGTGTTGTCTTCCTACCCTCCCTCCTCCCCATCCCCTCTATCCTTCTGATTATCCTCTTCTTTTTTCTTCCTATTTTTCTTCTTATTTTTCTTCTCTTCATTCCCCAACTCTACAGTCTAGGTAAAGTAGATCAAGTGGGAAAGGTTTTACCTTTCGTGTTGCTTGTCTACGTCTATTTTTCACATGTGCACCACCGTCATATCATCCTGTTTCATACTTTTCATACCCACTAAGGTCAGTTGGTTGCCCTTTCATGCGACAATCATTGAAAAGCAAGACTAGACCTTTTTGCCCACTTTTCTTAGTTCCATTGATGGCCCTCTTGAGTTTGTCGTAAACGGAGTTTCTTCTATCCCTCTTCTGACTGTGCTTTTTTCCCGTCACACCCCCTGCTCCCTCTCAACACTCCAAACACCTTTAAGCCGGTTTGCCATCTGGGAGGTCTGCCGTGAGGAGGAGTTCTCGCCCCTCAAGAATGGACCCAACGCGAAGAAAGATTGTCCAGCTACATGCAGGGCCGCCATTCTCACACTGCACCAGAAATGGGCTCTCATGGCCGGTGCTGCTTTCGAAACAAATGACCTTGAGAAAAACTGTCTGGAGATATCCCCTCTCGTCAGTCTAGAGGGCGAGGTATGTGGTCGCCTTTTTGATTAGCTTTACATCCTCTTCCGTACTCATTTACTCCTCTCGCGGAAAGTAATGCGTCATTCTGTGTCACCGTTCTGCCGTAGACTACTTCATAGCCAGCCTCTTATTTTTCCACCGAGTTCAGTGACGACCACAACTGCTATCACAGTACTGTTAGAGACATAAATCTACTTCAGATTAGATAGTGTGCAAGAATTGTGCAGTTTATAACTCGTCTTCTGTCTTTGCACACACCCGTCGTCGTCGATGGCAACAGTGGTGTTCAGAAGAAGATGCGATCACTGAACAGTGATCGCATCTTCTTCTTCTGAACTGCTGCCTGGAACTCGCATATTCTCCTCTATTGGCAACCAGTGGTGTTATAACGGTGACATCTGACGTGTGTCACCGTCTAATTACGCCCTTTGGAATCCCCAAGGAAGAACACATTAAGAAGGGCATAACTTTGGAATCCATCCCGAGGAAGGTTTATTGTGTCTCGGTGGCTGTTGCTGCTGGTAAGCTCCAGCGCGTTGTTTGTCCCGCCTCGGGGCAAGCCCTGGCAATCGGGACTGGACTGGCGCTGTCCTCGCATTCCTTGCTGCAACGCACTGTCTGAGAGGTGACAGTGGCTTATAAATGATAGTAATGTCCATTCGCTTGTGGCATCATTGACCGCATTGGGATAAGGTCACGCGAGCAGTTGGCCCTTGAGGGACTGCGACCATT